GTTGTAGTAGCGCACCTAAGTGTGCACCAAATAAAGAAGTAAATTAATATACTCTGAATGCGCCGATTTTCGCGTTTTCTTGGCCATTTTTGCCTTATTGGGGACTATGACTTCTATTCTTAAAAGTCTGGTACTTTGAAATTGTCGTGAACTGTGTCTTTAAGGAAGTCTTTATGTTCCTCTTGAGCAGGATCCTACTTAAGCGGTGCAAAAATGATTGTTTATTCACATTTAACAAGCACTAGGTCTAGAGTTGTTTATTCAAAACAGTATGTACACCATATATGGCCAAAATACACGTTTCTGGGAGGTGTAAACTACTAAAACCTACTACAAACATACAGGACAAAACATGGGTTGAGGCCATTGAATAGATTCTAGCGTGATAAAAATAGAAACAAAAAAAATAGCGTACGACCCGCACTGGGTCAAGAGCGTAAAACAACCTTGGCAAATATCCAGAAGAAAAATATAGCACCGAGCGCTTTGTCTTCACTAGCTAACTAATTCAATTAGTAATTATGTATATTTGAATAGGTGAGAGCAGAATTGATGGTACAGGAAACAATAAATAACAAATACGATTTTCTTAGCTCTATTTCGCTGAGTATTAGAAGCAAACAAAAAATCTTTTATTTCCAAATAGTAATCGCTTAATGACTAGCCTAGCTGGGATTATTCGCTGAACTTCTACTATGATGCATGTCGATGAGTTCAGAAAGAAGTCGCTCGGAAAGTACGTTGATAAAAGAGCGTTGAAAAGTTGAAATCACAGCGAGTTCATGAGCGAAGAGAAAAGGAAGTCAATCAATACGCAAATAATTAATCGATATCACCCGAATTTCGAACAAAAGACTGCAGATTTCGATAATAAAACGTGGCAAGAAGGAGTGAGAGAGGAGAGAGCACGCGCGCGCTAGACAGTGGAAATTATGAGAAGTACGATGTTCTGAGGAGCAGTATGGGAAATCGGAATGAGCGCATAACTGATAGATAAAACCGATAATGACTAGATAGCATACGGATTAGAGAAACATACATATGAATGTTATACATTGCAAGCCGATGTGCTGATAGAACTTTGAGATATGCAGTGTTTTCGAGACGACCTGACAAAATGCTATCGAGAAGACCTGATGTAGTCGATAACCGCTTGATAGCAAAACGCATAGTGCTCCTGAAAAAATGAATGTTACCCATAGGTAAAAGGATTGTTATGCTTTTTCCCGATTGTTATGCCTTCTCCCTAATTCCCGAACACTTGAACCACTTCTCTTAACGCTTCTATATATTGGCCCAAAACTTTTATTTCCGAATTATCTGGCATTTTCCTTTATTCTGCTATTCAATGGTCATACAATCACAGTGAAGAAAATAAAATGGGAACACGCCATCGGGTAATCTGTGGGCAGTAAACATGTTAAAAACGCTATCTCTAAGGTGCATTGGGGAATTTCTAGCCCAAGACAACCGATAAAACCTATAGGTAACCCAAGATTGAAGACGAAAAATGATTTCCATTGAAAAGTTGGTGTTAGGTTTCCTGCCTCCAACAGGACTCAAAACTAACGATGCTGGGGGCACTGGACCCCACACTTATTGTTAAATCTAACGTGAACAAAAACAAACAACACTGAAACATACCAATTTAGAGAAAACGAGTGGCCTCTGATTTTGGAGACCTTTCACCGTTTGAAAAACGTCTACTCGTTGCTCAGCTTTCAATCGCTCCAACAGTAGTGAAATGCAACAATAGACACCCGTCTCAGAAGATCCATTCCTGAGCGAAAAAAGAGTTGTAAAGTGAATTTTCAAACGAACCGGCTCCATTAATATATCAAATGAAAAAACGAAATTTGTATAGCAACATCAATATGAACCTGCAGTGCAATACAATAGGGCCTGAATCAGGCAATCCACTTTGTCGCTCTAAAACTCGGCCAACCAGAGAAAGAAGAGGCTCAGAAGACGCTGGTACAACACTTGATGAAGGCCAAGCGGTGAACGCAAATTGCATTACATTTCGTGTACCGGTATCTTCCTGGAAATTCATAGTTAATGTAGGGTATTAAGAATAATAGACGGAACGCGAAAATTAATCAAAATGCCCTGTACCTTCATCCGATAGCTAAGCCTTCGGGCAATGTAGTACGGGAAATGTTCTTCGCCTGTCAGCTGAACGCTTACATTATAAGGCGGCCTCTCGTACACAACCGTACCATGCAATTCGGAAGGCCAGTACTGAAATAATACAATTCGAAACTGATAGGTATTCGCTTTTGAAGGAATGAGTACGAATGACAGAAGCTGACCTTCTCGGAGGGACTCCAATCCTCCTCGTTTGACAACATAACTAATGTAGTTACATTTAATTCCGAGATCATTCGCCAGAAATCAAACACTGTATGTTCGCTTACAGGATCTTGAGCCAAAACATATGGGTAAAAATAACCCTGAAATCACAGCCAGGTATGCGGATATGACTTACTTATTGGAATAAGTCACACGGGAGACTCTTTGAACCTATTACCTTAAGTGAGCTTGCATTTATGTAGGTAGTATCCGCATATCCTATCGAAGCACGTAAAACTATTCGGTTTCGATCGTAGGGGACTGCTGAGTCAAAGCGGTTCTTCATTATATTATCTTCCTTAGCCGCAAATGAGCATTTGGCCGGCGTTTCAAGACTACGCTCCAATTTCTGCAACGAGAGGATAAAAGGACTAGTTGAGTCTCCGTACCTTTAGGAGCAACACATTCCCCAGCAGTACTTCAACAAGAATTCAAAAGGACTAATAAAATCTAATCAATTAATGAAAGGCCGAAAAGCGGAACACAGCTTACCCGGAACTCCGCTTCCATGCCAGTCGCTGGTGCAGCATCAGAACGTGCAACTAGTTTAGTGATGCCACTGAATGATGAAGCTCGATCCCTAATCAATACAAGCTTCTTTGGAATACACTAAAACACTAACCAGTCGTCATACCTCATTCCTGGATCAATCAACGTTTGATAATGCTCAATGAGCTGTTCAACGTCCATATCCGTATAGCCGAACAAATGCCATTCGGCCAATGCTTTATAAATGAATACGTATTGCTCCTGAAGGAGGGTTGCTTCACTTGGGTGTAAGAATAGTGAGACAAGGAATAAATACTGGAGACATGCGCACCTGCGACTGAACCATGAGATTACGCTGCTTTCGTAGAGCGGATACACAATCAAAAATATCCACTTTGCCTTCAGCAGCACATTGGTCTAACATGCTGTCGATTGCGATGAATGTTCCTGTTCGGCCGACACCAGCGCTTAAACAACCGTAACTTTTTTCGAAAATGATTACGAATCTAACTGATCGCTCACTTTTTGGTAGACATCATCAAAAACAGTTCAAACAAAACATCTGTTACTTGGACAGAGAAAAAATACTACATTTGTGCCCCTACCAGAAAACGAATGGGAAGCAACGCGAGCAACGCGGAGAAGCCCGCTACTGAATAAATTCTCGCCTCATTTAAATAAATGACAACTTAAAGAAGCTAGAGATTAAAAATCTCAGCGAGCGTTTGGAAAAAATTCACTCAAGGAAGGCATCCAATATGAGGAGCTAACAATGTAAAAAGAAAATTAAAAAACAGATTTTATGCGCAGGATTTCGAACTCAGATTGTGAGGTCAAAGTAAATGAGAGTACCACGCACCTGCAATGGATTACAACCGGGTAATCTTCGAACTCTGGTAATGCACGAAGGCGGTGCAGGAAACGTAACAAGCCAGTGGAACATTCAGGTGCTTTATAATCATTCCAATTTGTGAAATGATACTGTACAACTCGACGAGCTGAAAGTCAAAAATGAAGGAAGCTGACAAAAGATATGAATTCATGGCCGACTATGGAAACAACTCAGAAATAGTTTAATAATATGAAGAACAAACCAGTTCCGCATCCAACGAATGAGGTTTCTGCGTGGCCATTCAAATGCCGAACAGAAGGCACATTGGCGTATTCAGAAGTAGGATTGGAATCGATGGAGCCCAAGTCGGATCTTAAACTATAGCAATGGTCGATAAAAGGTGGCAGCCGAACTCGAACAGTCTTCCCAACTCACTTAGCTCCAGGTGACATTCTATTGAATCGATCGTTCACCGGCTCTACATCGAAACATCGAACCGCGTAATCGGCGAAGTAGGACGCTTCTCGCGGAGAAATCAGCAGGTCGCCATATCTGCGATAGGTATAGTTTTGGGGAATCAGGAAATATTTCCGTATTTATCCAATTACAAAGCTATGTTTATAAAAAAAATCAGTGTATACCTTGTTGGCTGATCATCCGGCCAATATTTTGTACACTGCTGACGGTTCTTTTCGAACAAATTGGCAACCATAACAATCAGCCTTGAGTCTTGTTCCCAGATCATTCGCCAAAAGTCAGCTACAGTTGTGTCAAGTGGTGCTTGTGCGGCGATGAAAAGCTTGCGACCATTCCAACCCTGGAAGAATACGAATTCAATTCACTGGAAAGAAATTCAAAAAATCGACCCTTTCAAGGCGGGGATATTTATTGACTATAGTTATATGAACGGAAACGAACCCTTATCATGTTGGCGTTGATATAATCGGAGTTTTCGTCATCGTTTATCACGCGCAACTTAACACGAGTCGCATCAAATGCACGTATATCATTATATCTGCAAGAAAACTGAAGGATGCCTTAGTTATGAATGTTGAATGTAGATAAAAATCAAAATAAAAACAACACGAAAACGCCAATTAAAGAAAGCATGGCACTGGACCCATAAACGAGATGAAAGCAAAATTATTTTCACTGTAGAAGTAAGCCAAGGCAAAGGGGTATGATATTCCTTGATTACTATTAAAGAAAGACCATCGAACCTCATTAAGATCATTCACATACCTATTCTTGCATGCATTTTCCTTCCGAGCACTGGCAACAGCATCGAGCTTGTAATGAGGGAGAGCCTGAAAACTCAATGAGATTCCAGCCCATAGCAGAACACCAAAACCCTCTCACCTCATACTCTTGAGCGAAAAGAAAATCTGAGTCTCGGTGTCTCATAAGATATTCAGAAGGCAAATCGTCGACGGCTATTGCATGATAGGTTGATGGACGAAGAAGTGTTCTTTCAGCGCCCAGGGATGACTCTTTTGACATCCACAGCCAATGACACCATTGTGCGACCTCGCCTCGTCTGGAACATCGTTGAACCTTTGATAACTTTACTAATGAATTCCATAAATCACTCAGCATCCGCCACAGCCGACACGAGGTCACTATGAATGAATTGCCTGGTACACACGCATCTTGGAATAGTTTAGTAGACTTACTTGTGTAAAACAAACAATCCCATTACAGCGGCCATCGTGAGGAACGCCAAAAGAGGCACCAACACGGTGAAAAATGCTCCAATCGAGCTTCTTTCTGAAACATGACTGCAGATGTTATATAATTCAGTGAGAGGCAATAATGATTTCTCACCGTCTTCAGGCTCAAGGAAAACGGGTTTGAAGTAACCACTGAAACCATAAGCCGGGCCGCTCAGATGAAGCTGACGGTAAGCACGCGGTCTCATGGGATCCAAACTGAAGCGACAGTCAAATATATTAAATTGACGGAACACAACACGGAAACTTATCTTGAATTTTATCCTTGCAACTTACATTCTGCTATAATGCGCCCCTCCCTGATTTTCGTCCCTGTCGTCTTTGTCAACTCTAACGATGAGAAACCCTGTGTATTTCAGACCAGGCCGCAAAACCACATCTTCGGCTTTGTACCGACTCAAGTACCTGAAGTAATAGAGCTTTGTTTTACTGTTCTCAAGTATGCGAAGATATTTATAAACACTCACAGAACGCTGCACGGCTTCATTCCAGATACACCACGCCCGTCCCCGATGACAGTATCCATGGGATAATCGGTATAACTCTCCGCTATGTAAGCGAAGAATCTCTTCTTTTCAGCTGCCAAAACGTTAAGATTGTTGCTGAACGCCTGCAACATATATAAAATAACATGAGGAATTTGAACTCCTGATTTTTGCAATGATGCGACATCAAAGTTTGTCAACGTTTTAAGACCGACGAAAGTTACCTTGGACACCGTATCCATCACAATTTCTTGAGGTGGCGGGAGCGTCTCTAACGACACATTCCTTAGCAATGGGACGATACCAATATAATAACAACTAAAATGCATTCAGTAGAATCAAAATACATGCCTCACCAAAAGGAACCAAAAAATAGCTGTACATTGGAAAAAAAAACTGCTAAATACCTTATTGGTCCATTGGTATCATCGGGTTTCGATTTGAAAGCCAAATTGAATGAAGTATGATTGGCATTTGTAGAAGTTACTGGCTTTTCAACCTACAAAACGCCACGAATACTTTCAAAAAAAGATGAAAATTAATCTGAAGACCGAATATGTATGACACAAACCACATCTGGCTGAGCGTAGTTGGTTATGCAATGCTTCGGAAAAACCAGAGGTGACGAACGACCTGCTGAGTTCTCGGCCCAAACAGTGATCGTGTAGTTACGATTAGGCTAAAGTAATCCTAATGAGTTGTCCGGGCAAAAACGCGCTCCAACTGACTTCAGAAATCCTATGAGCCTTCAGTTCCTTCAGTTCTCACCTTAAGAGGTCCATATTTACAGGACAGGAATTCCGTAGTGAACTCAATAGGATTTATTCCATGTGAAGCATCCTCACGTTGATCCCAATTCGCACACTTCTCTTCATCAGTTGGCGGTGGAAAATCGTCAGCAACAATTGCACCACCAGGACGCATACGACGAACAGCTCCTTGGACTCTTACCTGTAGATGGACTACGCATTTTCGGAAGGAACAAGGTGAAGAAACAAAATAAAAGTTAAACTCACGTAGTATCTGCTAATTCGCCCGTTTGTCAGAGCTGGTGCTCTCCATTCCACCTCACAGATCAGAGACGATCCCGAATTAAGGACGCGGACATCTTCATACTTTGGTGGATGTGGTTCTGAAACGGTTTTTATTCTTGCTATCGAAATCGAATGTGAATGGCATCAAACTCGAAAGTGTTTGCAAGGCTCACTGAATATGGTTAGGATAACTTACTACTCTCAGCTGTGTTGAAGAGCTCAGTAATTTCGAAAGGGTCCGTTTGGCTATCATTCACAGTCACATACAACTTATATGGCGTCGCTGCGCGAAGGTTTCCAATTGTGACTGGTGATATCGCATTCGTTTGTGAAAACACTTCCTGACCATTCAAGCCCGTTCGCCGAACCAACCTTCAATTAATAGCAGTTAGACAGATGATAAGATTTTTCTAATCGGCAATATAAATCAGTTAGACTCACCTCAACCCGATTTTCAACTGTGGTCCTTGCTGAACATCCCAGCTTACATTCGCGGATACATCGTTCGTGACAATGGTCAAATTTTGGATAGTTCGTGGAGCTGGAACAATTGCATACATTTCTGTGCTGACAAACTTCCAGGTGCATTACACGGCATCGCTTTTCAAAAAGCCACTCAAAATCAACGAAAAACACAAATAGTAGCATCCTTTCGAAAAAGGCGTAGAAAAGTAAGAGCTAGAGAGCAGTATATGAACTCTAGTCAGAAGATGTAGTAATGATGAGAAGTAGTCACACATTTTGCAGCAACAGACTTTTCAACATTACTAATTTCAAATTATAGCAATTTAAGAACATGCACTGCATCAGAGTTGCGTCCAAATATGATTTTTTTACATTGAACACACTTCTACAACCACTTCACAAGAACTAAGGTGAGCGAAAGCTATCTATCACTTTTCAAAGTCTTTTTCCACTAATAAAAAATGTGAACATGCAGAAATTATAATCATGCGTTGCTGGTAAAATGAGACCGCAGTGAGTCGAACAAACACTAATAAGTGTCATTCTCAAACCTACCATTTGACGATGGTCTCATTACTTTTTTCGATCTTTTCGAAAACAAGTGATGACGCTTTTCACGTTCTACAAGATGAAAAAGGTATGCAAATGTAGGTACAAGTACGTTTTACAAAACTGATGTAAGATCAGATGGATGTGAGATATAAAAAATAAACGTGCGAAGAAGGGGCAACACTCAGAAAAGGTGGACGATCCAGAAAAATTTTATGGGAGCTGATTTGAATTGAATCGATGGAAAAGAACGACAATACACTTATGGAAATTCGAAGTGCTGATCAATTTTATAACCATTGCATAACATTTTCGTGATAACATTACTTCCTGCATCATAATAGATACTAAATCTTTGAGAAAAAAGAAAAACCTTTGAGTAAAACTGTCAAAAATCGCACACATTTATGAATTTAGAAAAATTTTAGGAAAGGTTTTCTGAAAAAGAAGGTAGAACTTACCCTTAACTTGAAACTCGATAGTGTAATTCACAGATGGCTGCTGATTTGCATTTACATGGCACATATAAGAACCGCTATCCGAGAGTTGTACGTTACGAATATCCAGTTCCCAGCAATATGGCGTGTTCATCTTTTCGAACTCCGTCATCTACAAAAATGAATCTCTTGAGCAGGGTCTATCACGAGATACCTTTATTTCTGCAAAAGAAGGCTAGAATGAGAAAGCAAACCGTTTGGTCATAATCAAAAACAGCCCCAGATTATGGTACAGAAAGATCGTAGCCAAAACTTATACTGCAAGGAAAGCCCCTAACACTCATTAAAGGCTATATAAGACTCACATGATGGAATGGATGATTCGTCGGTTCACGTACAACTGTTGTATTCTGCACAAACAATACCTGAAAATCCGCAGTAAGTAAAACCGCCGATCTTTGAGTCATTGAAATTGATTCGAACAGCAAACACATTTTTTTCCTTACCCCTGCGACATCAATTAATCCCTGAGGATCCATATTCACGCAACAGTAGAGTGTTACATCAGTGCCCTTGTACACTGCATCCGATGGGTATGCAATGCCCAAAACAGCCAGCTCACCTAAAAAGAAACAACCGTGACTTACGGAACAAAAACCAGAAATGGAATCTTTACATTCATACACTTTGGAATTTTCATTGGATCCGATCAATTGAAAAGCCCACAAAAGTTTACTAGAATCTGAGCAGTTATTGAGTGAGGACCAGCCAACAACAACAAGGCTAGTCATACCCGAAGAACCGATTCATCCGGATTTTTTTCCGGCCAACATTTTTGCTAAGTATCCCAATTTCTCAGGCAAAACATTTCAGAAACCTCAAATACAGCTGTTTGGGAGCGCTGGCAACCTGCGTAATGTTTATTCCAACGAGCGTTCTCTAGAATTTCCTCACAAACCCCAGGGATTCGGAATACTTATAACAGCACAGTTTGTTTACAAATATTTCTAGCGAACAACCGCATGAACCTTACTGTCACATGCGCATTTCAGTCATGACCGAAGACAAATTGAAGAATTTTACACTATCTATAAAAGACCAATTCCTACGGACTTAGGTAATAAAAAATGATAATCGATTTAAAGCAAAACAAATAGCATTAATGGCGGCCACTATTTTAAACATTAACGCGTTTCGAATTGGACGTGATTTCCTTTTTCCCCGAAAGACGATGCTAACTCTCTTCAGTCTCTTAAGACAAACAAATGACTGCTGTTAAACCTTCTGAACCGATGACAATTTTTCGTTTCCGTCTGTGAAAAAACCTCAGAACTTACGCCGATCACACTTTGTCGGGAGCAGATTCAACACCGGCGAGTCACTTGTTTTCCAATTATCAAACATTGGAGGACATGAGCAACGACCCTGAAATGAAACCTATAAAATGACATACAAGACTTCATTGCGTCTCCCAAGATGATTGCTCGAGATCACTCATCAGGCCAGATATCCGAGAGGAGGATGATAACAAGACATGAAGAAGATAGCACTAGTCCGATGGATAACGCCAATGGATCAACAGACTATCCGTCTTTTCCGCACCGGAAACGATTCGTCCTTCGCGCAACCTAGTATTTCACGGAACACTGATGATTCTAATCGAATCCCTATCGGGTGTGTTGTTCCTGCGATAGCGAACTACAAAGACCGCAATATCAGCTCCACAAAATTCATTTAGAACTAGTTATTCTCAAATCTATTGTGGCACTTATTTCTATAACAGAATTACAAAATTACCGCTCTGGCCTATGCATTCCCAAACAACTGATGTGACGCAGGAGAAATCTGACTACCCCAATGACTATTAAAAGGCTGACATAGCAGGTGCAGGGTTTTCAAACTCTCAAAGGTAAAAAAACGTTATTAAACCATCCAAACGTATAGGAAAATCCTAATTTTCCAAACGAAATCGCAACAAGTAGTCAATAGTCAGTTGTTGCAAAAAGAGTCAGCGATTTTTCTAAGCAAGTGATTTACAAACCTGATGGCATTGCGGACTGGGAAGATCGTACTTCTTCTTGTAACTCGAGTCCATTACACCACATGGCAATTCGTGACGATACCGCTGTCGTAGACGATAGTATGACGAAGACCCCTGCTTCATACAATCCATTGGGATATCTGCAAATATATACTAAGCAATAACTCCAAGAGTAAGGAACTATAAGGAATTTCTATTAGTGAAGAGAGCTTACATGGTGGACAGCTTCTTGGACACAAACATCTACCGTAACCATCGGCATCTTTCCGACACAATCCGTTGTGTACACAGTCATAGTTGGACTCACATCGGGGAACTCCTTAAAAACGCACAAGTTTCACTACCGGAGTATAGCTTCTCAATGCCGACAATTCAAAAATTTCTAGAATTATGAATCAGGAATGGGCATGTTCCTCAATGAAGAAGAAGTTCCCGGGAGGGAAATCAATATTTCTCAAACTTTGGACATTGACTGGAGAATGAATTTCAGGAAGTTTCCTGACAGACGTTGTCAGAAACACGGAGAAATGCCTCAGATATATTACGGATGATAATGTTGTTTCTAAGAAACAAGCTCTTTTACGGCTTATGAAGAGGTTCAATCACCTAGTAACCACCTGATCCATTTGTTATACACTTTCGTATAATAAGGAGAGGTCAATAGGAATGTATGTAGAGAGAGAGATCAATAAAAAACATGATACTTCAACGCAACTAACCCAGCCTATCGGCGGATGCCGGTCCAGAAGGTGTGGTTGTCGATACTGTCTCCTCCGTAACAGAAGTGATATTCAATGGCTCTGCTTCCTCCTCACCGCTAGTAAACCGCAATAGCAACAGAATCAACGTTGACCACCACGTCCATAATCCAAATATCGTTGTCATTCTTCACGCAAATATCATAGTGAATTGAATTAGTATTGAAAACAGTCGTTTTGTTGGAAAAAAGGCCTGAAAAATGGACGATAAAGTGAGGTCAAAAACGAACTGACGATGTTAAACAATGAGAGTAAACACACACCGTGGATGACTAATTAAAGTATGGAATAGCAGCGATAGTGAAAAGAGTCAAAACAATACGATGTAACCCAATCTAGTGTACGGCAAATAGACTGTTTGACACCTCGAAAATACATAACTTTTGAGATTTATATAGGCCTATGTGAATTGCTCATCTTAGGACTGGGTAGTGATTCAGAATAGAAAAGCAATCAAGAACTACCCTTTGGAAGTCACCATCGAAAGAGCTGACTCAGTGGAAAAGGATTAATGAACTCTATCAGATCATCTAAAAATACAACCGATGAGGAAAATGAACAAAAGTAAGTGACATGTGGGAGCTAATTCAAGTAGTGCAAGCAAATTCAACGGAGTGAGACGTATGAGCAAACATATTGCGGAGTCAGCAAATTCTTAACCGATGATGTTGGCTTCGGGCTGGTTAACATCAAGATCAAGAATTGAAAGAAAAAAGACCTCATCATTTTAGCTGCCATTTTAACAGATCAAGTATTGTTGACAGCACAAGGGCAAATAAACAACACCCTACCAATCCCTTCAAATGCATCAGTTACGCGAACTGCACAGGAAAAAAGAAGATAGATGAGAAATCTTGAACATCGTCGAGTTTTCCGCTGCAATTAATCGATTCCTACTGGAGCAATCCCGGTGGAAAGAACTGACATAAGAGCATTTGTAATAGTTTTTAACACCCTTTGTGCTTTGTGTGCCTACTAGGTACATTTCTCACAAGTCGAATGAATAAAGGGCGAAAAAAGCTGCAAGAAACGGTGTAGTGAGTGACGCTAGAAGTATTTTTATCAGAACTCTCCCTCACTCATGGATGAAGCCTATCGGAACATTCAGAATTCCTTCGATATGATTTCGATTGATTTCGTTCAGAGACACTTTATATCATGTCAGAGTTATTGAACCACGGAAATGTGTAATGTCTTTAAGATGCAGATCGATGGGAACCGGAAACGATGGAAAGAGAAGGAAAAACGAGACAACAGCCGAACAAGAGATCGATCGAACGATCGAAGGCAATGAAACGCAGTGAATTCCACCCAGTGAATACAAGACGTCGTGAATCTGTTGGACAAATAGAAAATCAAAAAGGCGTTTCCGCCGTTTTCCCGAAAAGGTAATGTTGAATTAGATGAATCACAAATTCAAGTTTCCTCGTAATTCGGGAACGCACCCTAGCATTGAATGCCATAAGTGTGAAGCCACAAGCAGAAATTCACGAAAATTATAAGAAACATAATGAAATGCATTAGAGAGGTCAAGAATTTTAGCCTATACTTTTTTATAAGCTCTTAGAATAACAGTAAGTTTCCCTTCTTTCCTCTCTCCCCTTCTACGAACCATATGACAAAGACGTCAGACCATCAAGTTAGGTAAGAGTACATAATAGAAAAATAACGCCTCAACAACGAATAAAATCGTAAGTTTGCAGTGTGCAGACGCAAACAGAATGCCATCCCTTCCAAGGTCGTTCAGATCTGCACTTGAATGACAGGTTCTCTCCATGCCATGACACTGGCTCAAATTCAGCTACAGCATTCAACTGACAACCAATCACTATTTTGAGGCACGGCCACTCCGTAAGTAGGAAGATACTTCGAAATCAGCTATTCATAATAGCCCNGCAGAGTTGGTGGTGGAACACAGGTTTTAGAGTGGCAAGAAGAAAGAGGGAATCTCCGTGCAGACTACCGGAGGGAATTAAAAGCAAACAATGGACGCGTCGCACCGGAACTGATTACAGAAAAGTTGAAAGGCATTGAAGGAGCCTTTCCGGTTCACTTAGAAGAAGGAGAAGAACTGACTAATAGCGGATACAAGCCAGAAACGTAACTTACGGCTGAAGCAACTTTTGTCCTAGTCGTCGCTTGGGTGTAAAATGTAGCTGTCGCAGAACTGCTTATGGAAGAACCCACTCATCCTACTATTTACAGAGCAATAACCACTTTTACTCTTACTCTAGAACACGTCTGAAAAAATGCGAAGAAGACAGTGGAGTAAAAAGAAATCCTTTCCCACGCGGGCCAAACGTAGAAATATACGATAATCTTTGCATTAGAAGGAAGTAGGCGGTAATATGATTACGGCAGCACTGGAATTGAAGAAAGGAAGACATCTGTAAGACTACTCCCCATGTTCTCAAATCCTTCTCAAGAAGCATAAGTATGAAAAAGAAATAAAGTTGGTTACTCCTTGAAAGAGTGGAAAATACAAACTTTAATTCTGTTTCTATACCTAACACACGTTGTAATAAATTTACTGGAGCTTGCTAATAACATAACCCGAACGAGTGCACTCGTTGAAGTACTCAGACGAACAAGAGGATATCATGTAAAGGGATTTGGAATAAAAAAGAAGATTGCTTTGCGGCGTAGTAAAGCTCGTTGAATGCGTAATTAGGGATATTATATTAATTGGAGAACGATTTCAAAACCGCGTCAGTTAACTAAAAATTAATGGTACATTTGTTTCATCAATGTTTTAGCCGTGCACTGAAATTTTGACCTTCGTAACTGTTCCCTAGGACATGCGGCATGAGTTTGAGAGCAAAAGCTTTAGGATGCAGAACTTAGAAAAAGCATGAAAAAAGGTATTCCAGTGCTCAATTGTTAGATAGCAATAAAGGAGAATGAAGAGCTAAGAAGAAATAAGTCGAACTACATACTTCCCTTTATGTGAGCACCCTTCCCTTCTTATTCACTCATAGTTCAAAGCAAACTAAATTTGGGTAGCTTGGGCAGCCCCAATTGAGCACCGAACTNTGTTCCCTAGGACATGCGGCATGAGTTTGAGAGCACAAGCTTTAGGATGCAGAACTTAGAAAAAGCATGAAAAAGGTATTCCAGTGCTCAATTGTTAGATAGCAATAAAGGAGAATGAAGAGACAAGAAGAAATAAGTCGAACTACATACTTCCCTTTATGGGAGCACCCTTCCCTTCTTATTCACTCATAGTTCAAAGCAAACTAAATTTGGGTAGCTTGGGCAGCCCTTTAGATCAATTGAGCACCGAACTATTTCTTCGGAAATCTTGAAAATCGAGAATAAAAGTTGGTAGGAAGTGACCCGGACTACAGCTACGCAACAGTGAAACTAATTCCTATTGAAAATCGTTCTCGTTGGACTGGTCGCGTGAGACATCGCCGTATTGTCCGCTGATGTGAGCGCGGACGCCGATGCAGTCACTAATCCAATAATACGTAGTTGCGGTGGAAGCGCACGCGACCACACGCAACATCGAATCTATGTATATGAAATTGGGATTGTGGTCATACGAGGCGGTAGGGAGCACTAATCACCCTCACATCTTACATGGATCGATTCCTCAGAGGGATGGACATTGTCGTCACAGTGGTGCTGGCGGTGACAGCCTACGCCGGCATGGAAATTGAATCATAAGCCTCTCAAAGAACCGAAGACCACTTTTTGCATAAACGAACGCTGTCCTTAAGCAGATGAAAAGGGAGAATACTACAGACCCGCCGAGTAACATCAGTATTTTGCATTTAATGTTTGTTTCCCAAGATTCGTAAGACTATACAGCTGCGCCAGCCTTCATCAATCTGGTTGGGAGCACCAAAGAGTAATCAGATTGATCTCGAACTGCTTCTTAGCTGATTTACCCCACCAAACGCCAGAAATAAACACTATCGCTTAGCAATGAGTTTATTCTCATCGTGTTGTGACAATGTATGAAAACCGCCGGGATAAATTGAATGCCGTCCCCTTCAAAGGCTATGTTTAATCATCTCATGACTCATGCGGTCGAGCTCTCCTTCAGTTCTTACGAAACCAACCGATAAAAAAACCTATGCAAACATACCACGGCTTCGAAAACTGACTAGATGGGAGCCAGTGAAGCGGCTGCTAATCTGACGAGGATATTGGACCGTTTGCGTCCATACAGCTGACCTTGTCATAAATGAGCTCGACGCCCATTGGCGTTGTGACATTATTGAACATAGACAAGTTGTTGAGCAGACCGTGGATCATGTGGTTGTTTAAATAGAGGGGCTAAACATTCCATTCATGTTCTCGAAGCTACTCAGAAACAAATCATTCCATGAACTATACAAAAAAGTCTGAACCCATGATACGAGACTATTTTGAAGTGCGAGGAAAACTTTTGAAGTGTCCCCCTACAACACTCGAGCTGAATGAGACGTGTTTTTAAAGGAAATTTTCTTATTTCATACCCACTTCTGCCTGTCCCCATCGGAAACGTAACGAAACAGTGGAAAGGGCAGATCTACTTTTGCTGAGACGAAAACGACGAGAATTATGAGCTCAGACCATGAAAACAACTTCTTATTATGCTATAGAACCAATGATGAAATATACCAGCACATTATGAAATATGAAAAATTAAAGGAGAAAAAGCAGCCAAAGGTGTGAAGTTACGAATATAGAGAAAAATGATCGTTAACCATAGAATTAGGCGAACGTTCTCGTTACTTTATGATACCTTTTCAACCTTGATGAATACCGTTGTTATATGAACATCATCAAATGGAAGGTATACGCAGATGGTGAGCCAGATCAATACAGGTTACAGGGCGTCACCCTTTATTACGTGGTTCCTGCGCAACACCATCGCTGAACGAATCAATAAACTTTGATATCTTCCAGGTAGGAATTGAGATGACGGGTAATTTCATTTAGCGAGTTAAGTGAATTATGCTAACAAGCAGCGCTGAAGCCTTCAAAAAGCCTCTAAAGCTTGATCAGAGTTTAGAATTCAGCAAGCACGAGTGAATAGCAAATAAAGTCGATTTCCTGAAGGTCCACACTTGAAAAGAACTCTGAACAGCGCTGTTTTATCTTCCCAGCTCGCGATATGTTCAGCGTTCTTGCTCG